TATATCATCATCATCATCATCAATGCCTTTCACCCCTGGCAGGGTATAGGCCACATACAAGCTCCTTCCATTAATATTTTATCTCTGTCCTGGGCCATCCTTCTAAGCTCGTTCCAAGTGAGCTTCACCTCTCTCATGTCTCTTTCCACGCATTTCCTCCTTGTTTCCCGTGACCTACCCCTGCCTCGTGCTCCTTGTGGGTCCCACTGCAGTGACTGTCTTGTGATGTTTCCACTGGGCTTTCTTAAGGTGTGTCCCATCAAACGCCCTTTTCTTAGTCCTATTTCTACTTCTATATCCTTTTGCCCTGTCCTTTCCCACAACACTTCATATCTTAATCTATCCTGCCACTTAATTCTTAGAATACTCCTAATACATCTGTTGGTGAAAGTCTGGACTTTACTCAGTACTGCCTTTGTTGTCTTCCAAGTTCCTCAGCCATAGAAGAGCACAGACTTGGCGTTGGAGTTAAAGAGTCGAATCTTGGTGCGCGGTGAGATGTTGCTTGCCTTCCAGACTTTTGATAATTGATTGAAGGCTGACCTTGCCTGCGCAGTTCTTGCTTTAATATTTGTCTCGGTTCCACCTTTACCAACGATGACACTTCCAAGGTAGATAAAAGAGTCCACTTCTTCCAGGGGAGTGCCTTCCACTGTCACAGCAGGGCTTGAAACTTTTCCTAGCTTCACTACTTTTGACTTGCCTGGATGCATACGTAGGCCAACACTCCTTGATAGGCTGTTGAGTTCCTTGGTCTTTTCTTGCTTCTGAGCATGTGTGTGAGAGAGCAGTGCAAGGTCAGCGAAGTCCAAGTCATCCTGTTGCTGCCAAGGGACCCACTGAATTCCATTACGCTTGTCTCTGGTGGCTTCTTCCATGACCCAGTCAATTGCTAGTATGAACAGAAAAGGTGAGAGCAAGCATCCTTGTCGTACTCCTGTCTGTGCCTGGAATGGTTCTAAGATTTGTCCTTCGTGGAAGACTTGGCAGTTTGTTCCATTATAGGTGGCCTTCACAAGCTTGACGATTTTGTCAGGTATTCCAAAATGCTGCATGAGTTTCCATACAGTTTCCCTGTCCACGCCGTCAAACGCCTTTTCATAATCAATTAAGTTGACCACCAGTGGTGAATTCCATTCAAGTGATTGCTCAACAATGATGCGCAGAGTAGCGATCTTGTCCACACAAGATCAGTTTTGCAGAATCCTGCCTGGTTTCCTCGGAGCTTCTCGTCTGTTCCCAGCTTGATTCTCTCCATGAGTATCCTGTTAAAGACTTTCCCTAGTATGGGCAGGAGTGTAATGCCTCTGTTGTTGTTACAATTGCTGAGGTCTCCCTTCTTTAGCAGCTTGATTAGGTGGCCTTCCTTCAAGTCTGATGGTATTTCTTCCTTTCACCAAACCTTTTCAAAGAGAGCATAGAGAATTTCCACTCACGTATCATTATCTGCCTTAAGGGCTTCCGGCGGTATATGGTCGGGACCAGCTGACTTGTGGAACTTCAGTGTTTTTATAGCTGATGCAATTTCCTCTCTTGAAGGTGGTTCCATAACTATTGGGAGGTCATTTTTGGCTGGAAGAATTTCTGGTTGGTTTTCTTGAGGTGGTCTGTTCAAGAGTTGATCAAAGTGTTCTCTCCATCGGTTAAGTTGCCCCTCTGGGTTGAAAATAGTCTTTCCCTCTTTGTCTTTCACTGGTAGAGTGGGCTTGCTGAACCTACCTGAAATAGTTTTTGTTGTCTGGTGTACAATCCGCAAGTGCCCGTCTGTTGCCAGGCCGTTCAGGTAGGTATTCTTGTCCTTTTTGTTGGAATTCTTTACCCCCCGGTTTACTTCGGTGTACTCTTGTTGTGCAACGAGTTTCTCAGTTCGGTTACGACTGTTGTTGACTTGGGCCTTCAGCTCTTTTTTTCTTTTGACTTTGTCTAAAGAGTCCCTTGAAATCCATTCATTCCAGGTGTTATCTTTGGGTCCAATGGCGTTATGGCAAGTCGCATTTACTGCCTCTTTTTATCTTGTCCCAATGTTCGTTGACTTCACTTTCATCCAGATCTTGAAGGGCTTGAAATCTGTTCTTCAGTTCCTACTTTAATGCATTCTTTATTTACTGGGTCTTTCAGAAGTCTCACTTCATACTTTAGGTGACTTCCAGTTGTGACTTGTGCATACTTTCTCAGTTTCAGTTCATCTTTCCAAGGATCAAATGGTGGTCTGATGCGACGTCTGCTCCTCGTAAGACTCGGACGTCCTCCAGTGAGCGTCTAAACTTTCGGGAGATGCAGAAATGGTCAATCTGTGTTGTTCCGTCCGTGGAGACCCAAGTGGCCTTGTGAATCCTTTTATGTGGGAAGATTGTTCCTCCAATAACCAGGTTGTTGAATGTACAGAAGTTTTGGAACCTTTCTCCGTTGTCATTTGCCTCTCCTTATCCATGTCTGCCCATGCTTTCCTCATAGTGACTATTGTCCGAACCTACCTTTGAATTTAGATCTCCCATGACGATGTTGATGTCCTTACCTGGCAGTTTGTCTATCACATTCTGCAGGCGGTTGTAGAAGTCAACTTTATTCTGCTCATTTGCATCATTGGTTGGAGCATACACCTGAATGATGTTCATGTTTATGATCTTTTTCCTACTGCCTCTTACCTTGCGTATTTTCCTGGTTCCAAATGAGGCCATGGTGATCCTTGGACCATGCGCTTCCCAGCCCTTGAATGTCTTTTGAGCTGTTTTGGATATGATCATCCCTACTCCTTCCCTGTGTAGTTCATCACTGTCATTTCCTGAATAAATTAAAAGCTCCCCCTCTTTCATTCGCTTCTGTCCAGACTGGTTCAAGTGGGTCTTGCAGATTCCCAGTATGTGTAGTTGGTATCGGTGCATCTCTTGGAGGACTTGTGCAGTTTTTCCAGCCTCATAAAGGGTCGTAACGTTCCACAAGCCAATCCGAAGAGACTTGGACTTGGACGATGGTGGAGGCTTCTGCTCATCAGCTTCCTTTTGGCTTTCACTGCCTTGCATCATAAACTCTCAATTCCGGGAAGATCCACGATCAGCTAAGCAGAGATAATGGTATTTGCTTGTATGTGTTTCTATAACAGGCTCTTTTTACAA